GCGACTCAGAAATATATATTCAGAACAGAAAGGTAATTTCCTTCCCTTAACTCTTCTTCTTTAATAGTTATTTTTTCTTGTGTTCAAACCAACTCAGCAGAAAGGGAAATACACTAACCACAGACACAATAAACAAAGAGACATCAATTCTATCTTTAAACATTTCCATGAAGGTATATAATTGTCGAAACTATAAACTTCCCAGAGGAAACCAAAAAGAAAAATAAAATCTAGTCAGCATTTAGGAAAAGTAGGAATGTTCCCTACCTAAAAAAAGCCAACTTGCCATTGACTCAGCTTATCCTACAATTTGTCTGTAAACTTAATGCACTCACTTAGCTATCAGCTAATAAGAAAACCACCATTTAATTAATGCTCTTTCGACATGCCAAGAACTGTTAATCATTTGTCACTTACATCTTTTTGCCTTGCTTACGTGATCTTTTCCGTTTCCTGCTCCTGGTTCTTGCGGTTTCACTGCTATCATTAGCTGTCCTACATCTAGACTACCACATATTAATGTCATGATGATCAGCAATAGAAAAGTTGAAGAACAATTCTGTTATTTCAAAAAAGTAAACTACAGCCAATTTGCTGGTTATCATCTACCAGAGGATACTTTATAGATCGACTTTTCCAAGTCTGCTTTTGCAAACAATATTGTACATTAATCTAAACATATCACAGTTTGAACTCATTTTGTATCCATTTAAAGTTGCTGGCTTCTAGACCCTATATAATCCATGATTGAATCCATTTCCCTAATTCTGAAGCTATTTTTTACAAGTAATTCTGAAACATTAACAAGCAGAAGCGTGATTTTTGATGGGCAAACAGGCAATGAGGGAGCTATATTAAGAGAATAGGTGAAAGGGGAACATGGTTATTGACCCATCCGCCACCACCACTTCCATCTCCGCTCGGTACCATTACAATTACCCTGTTTCCTTCTTCCCAATGTTGACCCACCATTTTTTCCCTTCTTGCAGCGCAGCGACTTCTATCCCTCAGATAACCCAACCCTCTCCTTCCCCTTTTGCAATGCCATTATTACAAAATTTCATCACATTATTACAATTATAACCAATTACAACTAGTGAGTGTAAGGAGGACTCCACCTCCCAACGTAGCTCAATGCGGTCCCCTCGTTTATTTCCTGAAAAGGAAGGGGTGAGTTAACAAGCCTAGTAGATAATTAAATTGGCTGATGCACCAAAAGTTTTCCAGCCCAAATGTAATGGAATGAAATGGACTCAAGCCCTAGCAGAAGCTAGCAGCAAGTCCCTCTTGACAGGTGGTTTGAAGAGGTTTCAGTTCTGTCTTTGGACTGATCACTTTCTCAAGGTGGGTCATTCATTGGTATTGCCATGAAGGTAAAAGATGTGAGATTTGAATTGATTGGTGATGATGCAATCATGTAGTTGCTAGTAGATGAAAAAAAGTAGTAATTGCACGATTGATTGTATTTATAATTTTGGGGGCTGAATTAAGAGGCTTTGGGTTGATTGATTTTTTCTATTTTATTTATACATGAGTTTTTTTTTTTATTTTGTTCTCTTGAATTTTTATATATATATATATATTTATTGAGAAAAGTTATAAAGCAATTACATTAAAATAAATGTTAACATCGTATAGAACAATAAAAAAAAAAAAAAAACAAAGGACCAAACAAGAAAATCTACTAAAACTTCAACAACAAACAACAAAATCCGTCAAAAAAATTAGCAAACCACTAATCTACTTGTACGTGGAAAGGGATCGGAAACATGGTACGATAAGGGTAGATTTGTTTAGATTATATTATTAGAATTTAAGATACTTCTAAAGTAGCTTTCTTTAACAATTAGGCACCCAATTAAATAATGTTTTTTTCCCCTTTCAAATTAGTCATGTTACAACTCGTTTGTATGAGCAATATGACCCATTTTCTTTTACATTTTATGATACCAAAACCCCTCTCTTCTTATATTTTAGTTTATTATATTTCATTTGTTTTTTCTGCTAATGTAAACTTTAAAGTACACGTTGGAAAATATTTTGGGATTGCTTTATAGTCAAAAAGATAGATGCTATGGTACATTTAGTTATGAACTTATATGATTTTATATTATAACCAATACCATATTAGTCATAACTACTATCATATGATCAAGCCCAGCCATGTTTGGAAACCCCCTAGGAGAGATTGTTCTAAGATGTAAGAAATCCCTAGTCAACCCATCATTGCCACCTCCACCACCGCTGCCGTCATTACTTCCCCTCATTGCCATCCCTTTGGCATTACATGGTCTAATTTATTTTATTTTTATCACCCAAGTAGAGAGAGAGAGAGAGAGAGAGAGAGAGAGATAGCTTAATCCTCCGAGGTGACCATAAGGGACGAAAGAGCAACAAAAAGCACAACAAAAGATAATGACCTTCAATAAACCCCTCCCACTTCCAACTTAGTTACTCCCACTCTTCCTAGCAGGATTAGCAACCATCCTTGGCTTCTTTTTCTTTTTCTTTCTTTCTTTCTTTCTTTTTCTTTTTGATATATGGAAAAGTATTATTAACTTCTTCTTGAATTTTTTAACTTCTGCACAGACCAATCTATAGATATATGGAAAAGTATTATTAACTTCTTCTTGAATTTTTTAACTTCTGCACAGACCAATCTATAGATATATGGAAAAGTATTATTAACTTCTTCTTGAATTTTTTAACTTCTGCACAGACCAATCTATAGATATATGGAAAAGTATTATTAACTTCTTCTTGAATTTTTTAACTTCTGCACAGACCAATCTATAGATATATGGAAAAGTATTATTAACTTCTTCTTGAATTTTTTAACTTCTGCACAGACCAATCTATAGATATATGGAAAAGTATTATTAACTTCTTCTTGAATTTTTTAACTTCTGCACAGACCAATCTATAGATATATGGAAAAGTATTATTAACTTCTTCTTGAATTTTTTTTTTCCTCTCTCAGCTTTTGCCTTCATCAGAGCTCCCGTGGATCACTCTGACCACTCTTACCGTTGTTCACTCCGGCTGCGACATCACTTCGGCTGCTCGACATCCTTCTCGGTTAGTTTAGAAAATATTCAACACACTACTATACTTCTATAATTAGTTCTCTATACTGGTATAAGACAGTATATAATCCTTGAAGCTAAGCTTCTATATAATTCTTGAAGCATATTGATATTAACTACCCCTGTTTGGCTCCCATTTTTTTCTTCGGTTTTTAATTTTAGTAAATTTTATATGCAAACATATATATAGGTTGCTAATATAACAGGTATGGATCCAAATTCATTAAATCTACATTTCAAGCTCCTACTTTATCATCCCAAATAGATAGATAAAAGATGTATATTCTACATTTATATCTGGAGGGATTGTAAGCACTTTGTACAAACTTCATTTCCTTCCACCATCAATCTACTTAGTGACAAGTAACAAAGGGTGTAATAGAGATTACATTTTCCCCTCCCCTTATCAGACTACATTTTCATGTCCTAAATACACTAGAAAATTGGCATTTCAAAAAAATCAAAATCAGTTCTCAATTCAATTTCCAATAAAACTGCAGAAAATTGGGTATCTTATATGATTTCACAATTCTTATTTTTCTTTTCAATCATCTTCTTAACAACAAACAAATCATTTTTTGTATTGTAAAACAAAATGGTAAATGAAGGACCAACCTCAAAATGAACCAACCAATTGTTAATTCCTGCTCCAAACCCCTTATCAAGATGGTAAGCCGGGGGAGACCCATCCAAACAAACTGCACAATATCAGAATCCCAACAAATTGCTTTCCTAAACATTTATAATTTTCAAGTGCTTTATGTGGTTCAAGCCATCCCCAAACCCATGCAGAGAATAAAAAAAAAAAAATTAGAAAGATAAAATATGGGAAAGTGAACCACAACATAGCTAAAACCAAAGCAAGTAAAACCAGTTAATAAAGATATTCAACCTTCTGACTGTACACCTAAAGTGAGACTTGAAGCCGCAAAGGAGCTATACATAACCATGACATCGTTTTTTATTTTTTTTCTACAATAGTCCCAAAAATAAAATAAAAAACAATGTCGTTTTTATTATCAATTCGTATGGTGCCAAAATATTTGGCTCCTTTTTGCGACAAAAAAATTTCCTTACCAAATTACAAATTTTGTCCAAAAAAATTAACTTCTTTAATCTATTTTTTATGGTAATGTGACCTAAGCTACTGGGGTATCATTTTTTGTTTATGATTAGAATTTTTTTTAGTGTCTTTCCTTTTTACATTGGAAACATAGTCTTTGTTAACTACATTATTATAAAACAAATCCATTCATGTGTGCATGTCGTGCATTTGATGAATGTACTATAACCTTTAAGATTTTTGTTTGTTTGCTTTTTTTCCTAATCAAAGATATTATGAGTTTATTTTTCTTGTCTTTTTTTACAAGGAATTCTGATTGAAGCCTAATGGATAAGCCGACTGATCCTCCAAAGCGCCCAATCACTCCATTCATTTTCTTTTGGTATTTCGTTAATATCTATTTGTATGTAGTTATATATTTTCCATTATACGAATTCTTATATTCATTTTCATATGTTTATAGCCAAGAACAATCAATGGAGTTAAAAAAAACCCAAATGAAAGTAGACGTGAAGGTAAGTGCAACGTATTCTTGTTGTTTGTAGTATTCCTTTTGTACTTGTAAGCTTGTATGTAATTGTTCATATGATTTTATGCATGTAATGTAGGATATTGGGGACAAATGGAATCAACTTCCTGAAGAAGAAAAAAATAAGTATATACAAATGGAAAAGCTGCAATCTGAACAATATGTCCAATTAAAAATTGTGGTCCAACAAAAGCCTCCAAAAGTAAAAATTCAAACCCGGATTGAGCTTACATCAATTTGTAAGATTATTAGAAGGTTGGACAAAGCACAACAACAAGAAGTGAGTGATATGGGGTTTCATGGCATCCTAAGCCTTAGGTGCACGCACATAGATCATGACTTGTGTCATTGGTTAGTTCAGAACTTTGATCCTTCAACTCATTCATTGAATGTCCACGGTCTTCGAATGCTTCTCACCATAGAAGATGTTCATGAGTTGATGGGATTACCTTCCAATGGTCTACCTGTGAAGTTAACAGAGTCCGTAGATGAAATTACAAACCTATGTGATGAACTTGCAGTGAAGAATAAATTTGTTCCGTTCACGTCTTTGAAATCTTATCTGCTTGAAACAAAAGATGCTGGAACTGAATTTAAAAGGAAATTTGTCTTATACATCATTGGAGCCCTCTTGTGCCCCTTTTCATTAGTTGTTGTGTACATCTCGTTTACATCCTTTACTCTTTGTATTTGAGTCTTGGGTTGTGTTGGGCAGATTTGAAACAGGTTGGTTCTTGATTTTCTTGTCGACCGCATTGCTATTGCCAAGGTCAAAGAGCGGTCTGCTATGTGCGGCTGTTTGCTTGTTCTAATGGTACCTCCCCTTGATGTGTAATTATTTCATCTATTATTTTTTATTGTATATTGTCTAACACACATTAAAATGACTTCTTTTTTTTATTTTTTTTTCCCATGTAGTTATTTTACTTGGAACAATTTGCTCGCAAAAGGGAGTTGGTGGCTACTTCCAACTCCATTCCTCGCTTATCCTATTGGCGCAATTTAGAAATTAAGCAGGGTTTGAATCAAATTAAAGCTTTGGGAGGATATTTAAATGCTGAGGTAAATATTTACAACACATGATTGTTTTATAATTATAGCTCAATTTACATTACATCTGTGACATTAACAAGTTATTGTATATCTGTGAATAGGTGGCTTTGCCTAACATTGTTGAAAAGTCCAATGCAGTAACTCTTAGCCAGGGAAGAATTGACAAGAATGATGACTCCCGATTGGCTAAAGTTGAGAAACAAGTCATTGAAATTCATGCCCTTTTGGTCCAAGGCCAGAAGGACACAAGGCAAGATGAGGATGAGAAACGTCTAACCAAAGTGGAGAATCAAGTTGAAAAAATTCTTGAGCTGTTAGAAAAACACATGCCAGTTGATGGAGAACAAGTTAAAACACCACCAAGCAAACTACTTGCGGAGCAGCGACTGGTCAAAATGGAGAACCAAGTTGGTCAAATTCCTGAGTTGTTAGAACGACGCATTCTAGTTGATGGTGGATATGTTAAAACACCACCAAACAAACTACATGAGGAGCATCGAATTGACATTGAAATGGTTGGTCTCGATGATAGTGGTATCGAAAAGGTTGCAGCCAATTCCCCGAAGTTTGTAGATGAGGATGAGATAAGGAATATGAATGACAAAAAACCAATGGAAACTTTGCATTTGAGAAAAACAAAACCAATCCTCACACCACCAAATGCAAAGGCAGTTGCAAAGAAACGAGCCAAATTGGTTGGTGGGAAAGCATTAAATAATGCACAACTTTCTATTCCACAAAAGGGGCGATTGCGCGCAAAAAAGAGCGATACAAAGGCAGTCGAAATGAATGTTGTAACAATATCATCATCATGTAGTGTTGTTCGTGGTCCTCAGACTCGAGGGACCCAGAATTGCAAAGCCAGTCAGTGGTTGCATACACCTTTTGTGAAATTTGATGTAAAGAAGAAAAGACCACAGTTGAAGCCATCGTCAACTGACAACAACGTTGACAATAATATTCATGACAATCTCGATGAAGTAAACTAAATGATTGTGTCTCAAAACATATTTGATATATATGTAACAAATAGTGTTTGTTTCTTACTTTTCTTTTACTTGTATCAG